TATCTTAAGATATTGGATAAATATTCCTACATGATTCCAGATTTCTAATGGTAGTCTAACAATGATCGATTCCTATGATTCCAGTAACAGTACATTTCGACAAAACTATTACATAACATTAAACAGCTTTCACTAACAGCATTAAGGTATTAAAATACTTGAATTAAAGTATATTTAAAAAAAAAGTAATAGATGCCTTACTTTTCGATATAATGCACCTCGTCGACATAAATCAAAGCTTATTGTGCTTGATGAATTAGTATTGATTTCATGTGTTAGTGCTGCTATTTCATTTGTAACTATCTAAATTGTTAGAGATATCAAAAATATCAAAAATAATAAAATTTATTAGTGTCAACTGTTGTATATAAATTGTGAATGAACACAGAGGGTATATGACGATAACGAACAGTCTACAGACATAGTGAAGTATGTGTTGAGTTTTAGAATTGCTTACTTTATTCGTATGAAATGTATATAGAATGTGAAGAGTTTGATTTATGGCTGGAGGTTTATGGTGATGTAGTTTGAAATCGATTTTTTTGTTAGTGGCAAAGACATATTCATTCTTTGCGTTTCATTTGATTAGTGTACTGCTATACATTTTATCCTGCAATTTCTTCAATCTTTCTGAAGTTACGCTTTCTATCGGTAGATCGATCCTATATCTGCTTATCTGAATTTTAAGAATACTACTATTACTACTGCTACTACTACTAGTAGTAGTAGTAGTACTATTACTACTGATAATAATACTGCGTCTTGTTGTTGTGGTGGTGTTTGATTCTCTGAGCTGATTGTTTTGGTTGTGGAGTTTCCATTGTTCTTCTTCGCGAACAACATCATCATCAGCACAAACTTCAGATAGCAGAAGTGAAGCATTCGAATTTCTCCACGTTTGACCTGTAGCTTGTTCTGCTAACCTCGATCTTGATTGGTTGCTGTTGACCTTAAACCTGTCGTTGTTTGCACATTTGTTTTGATTTTATCCCCCTTTTGATCTGTTTCTTGATCCTATGTCACCTATGACTTTTCTGATTGGTTGATAAATTGTTCAGAAGAACAATGAAAGCTCCACAACCGAAACATCGAGCTTACAGAACCAAACACCACCACCACAGTCATGCACCTAAGCTACAAATCTTCTCCATGCGTCTTGTTGACGAGTTTCAATTAGAATACAACCGAAATCCGTTTGTCAGACCAGAATGGATGTGTTTAAAAATCAAATATGAAAAGCAAGTGTTATAAATACGAATCGGATAATAGATTTTTAAATGTTGTTGAATGTTTCGGTTTCAAGGCGATTGATTCTTCTGTAGATCACAGTAAATCTTGAAACAGTATGCTTACGTATCATTAAAAACAATGCATTAGTAGTGAGTTTACTGTTTAAGTGATAAACAGTAACAGTTTGAGATGGTGGTGAGTATTTGTAGCTCGGGTGGATGATTGTGATGGTGTTTTGTTCTCTGAGCTGGTTGTTTTGGTTGTGGCGCTTTCATTGTTGTTCTTCTGAACAACATCATCAGCATAAACCTCAGATAGAAGAAGTGAATTATTCGAATTTCTCCACATTTGACCTGTAGCTCGACCTGATAACCTCGTCAACAGCAACCAATCAAGATCGAGCTTAGCAGAACAAGCTACAGGTCAAACGTGAAGTAATCCGGATGCTTCACTTCTTCTATCTGAAGTTTGTGCTGATGGTGTTGTTCAGAAGAAGAACAATAAAAGCGCCACAAACTAAACATCCATCTCATCGAACGAAACACCACCACCAACAGCAACCATCTAGGTGACATATTGATTTGATTATTCCGAATCTAATTCAATGATCAATAATGTAGAATGTTTTTCTTAAAGTCAGATTGATTAACTCTCCATTCGTCATAAATTAATCATTTAATTTCAATCTGTTTGCCTGCAAAATAGTTTGCATGTAAAAAGAAGAATGATCAATACTCTTCAATGTTAGAAAGAATTCCATTTGTTTATTATGATCAAAATAATAATTCTAAGATGTATATCTTGTATTAACTAGTAATATATTGGTGTGATTTCTTCAGGAATTATCGAAATAATATTGTATTGATGATAATTATTTATGCGGCAGTAGTAACCACGATATGGTCTGTAATTCAATTAATACAAACAACTAGACAGTGTGATATTAACTACTATTCAGCTACCAATTAATAAACTATATTGAAGTTCTGCAATACTTAATAACTTGACGCCTGTTATCCCCTTGTGGAGTACAGGCCACTGACTAGCATTCTCTAACCTTCCCTGTCCAGGGCCTTCCTTTCCAGTTTTAAACAACTACTATTCATCCTTTTCAAGTCTGTCACCGATTTTGCGCATAGTGTGTCCCTTGGAATATTTCTATTCCTTCGATCTTGAAGATCCCGAGGAAGGGCTTGATATGTGATGCACCTGCGTGATCCCCGATCCACCTACAGCACTTTTTCCCACTATGTTCTTCACCTAGAACCTAGTTTGTTCTCTCCCACAGTAGGTTGTTGCTGATGATGGTGTTTGGCCAACGTATCAGAAGTATCTTGAGTAAACAACTTTTAATGGACACTTGTAATCCCTTGACGATGGCTTTGATATATCTCTAAGTTTCCGTTCCATACAACAGAATTGTCTTGACATTTGTATTGAAAATTCCGATTTTGGTGTTGATTGAGAGTTGTTTTTAATTCCAGACGTTCTTCAACTGTGGAAATGGTGCTCTGATTCTACTGATTGGCGCCTTCACATTTGCATCACATCCACTTTACTGTTCGACAGATATCTAGATCTTTCAGAGCCTCTCTATAAAGTGTGATTTGATTGGTGCATGTTGTGTTGTATCAGAGGATCTTAACTTTCCCCTGATGTATATTGAAACGCAATACTGTGGAGACTGTTGCTCCACTTGCCATCCTCTGCATTTGCTGATGTGTGAAATAGAAGCTCTAAATCATTTAAATCATCCTAATCGTCTAGCTGCATCTTAACTATCCACTGTATGCCTTTATCCCCACTGAGACGTTGAAGTTTTCACAACTCAATCAAACATTGGAATAAAGAGAAAAAGTGAAAATAAGCAAGCTTGTCTGACAGCGTTATTGGAATGAATTTGTTAATTGCTCTCTATGCAGTTTAATCCATCATAAGAATTCCTTATGATGTTGACTATTTTCTCAAACACACCATTGTGTCGAAAAAGCCTCTACAGTGTCATCCAGTTCAGGCTGTCAAATTTTTTCTTTTAGTCAATGAAGTTAATGTAGAGTAGTGAATTCCATCCAACTGGTTATTCCATAATCATCTGTTATGTTGCTATTTGCTCGGTACATGTTCTGTCCTAACGAAATCCAGCCTGTTGATCTTGAAGTTGGTCGTCTACTGAACATTTCGTTCAGTTTAAGACCATTCTGTTGAAGACTTTTCCCGGTATTGATATAAGACTGACGCAATTGTAGTTCTCACACTTGTTCAGATCTCCTTTCTTTGAAATCTTTGTGAAATATCCTTCCTTCCAGTCTGTTTGTGCTTTTTCTTCCGCCTAAATCTTGCTGAACAGAGAGTGGCACATCTTTGCAGTTACTGTCATGTCTGCTTTCAATGCCTCTGCTGAGATGTTGTTTAGTTCTGTTGCTTCACCATTCTTGATTATTTGTCTAGTGACCATAGATGATCTCTCAAACTGTTGCTAAATCAACAACAGTTGGCAGATCTGTCGATGTTGCTTCGAAGTTGAGTGAGTTCAGTGGGTTTGGTCTATCGGTGAGTTCTTCAGTGGTCTCTATCCACCTGTTTTACTGTTTCGGAATGTCAATGATTGTTATAAGGACAAATTCAAACATCTCAATTCACATGAAATTATACAATCAACTATCATGACTAGTTATTTCATAATTGACAACATATAGCGCGCCATTTTATATAATAAACAAAATAAAAATTTACTTTAATATTCACAGATTGTTGTCGTTTATTATTTGATCCAAAATATTCCAAAATTGGTTCAATATTCTCGGGTGATTCATCAATTGTTTTAATCCAATCAATTTCTAGTTCGTTCTGAGCTTCATTATTATTGTTTTGTAACAATTTCATTTCATTTTCCATGCATAATTTTATATCTGATGCATTTAAACGAACATATTCTGTACATGAGATATGTTGATCATTCAATAGTTCAATATGAAAATGTCGACGATTTATATTATGCTCATGAATAGTTGATTTATTATTTTTCATTGATTTTCTATGATAATTTATTTCCATGTCATCTCTGCGTAAAAATAGCATTAACAGTAAATCAAAACAGTAAATCAAATGTCAGTTAGTAATTTGAATATATGATAATGCTGACTGTAAGTAATGTTAATCGATGTTATTGACCATACTTACTTACTTACGCCTGTTACCCCCCATTGGAGCATAGACCGCACACCAGTTTTCTCCAACCAACTCTGTCCTGGGCTTCCTTCTCCAGTTCTGTCCAATGTTTGTTCATTCCTCTCATATCTTTCTCTATTTCTCGGCGTAGTGTGTTCCTTCGCCTTCCTCTTTTCCTTTGACCTTGAGTATTCCATGTGAGGGCTTGTCTCGTGACGCAGTTAGGTGCTTTCCGCAATATGTGTCCTATCCACTTCCACAGCTTCTTCCTGATTTCATCCTCCACTGGAATCTGGTTTGTTCTCTCCCACAGTAGGTTGTTGCTGATGATGTATGGCTAACGAATATGAAGTATTTTGCGTGGACAACTGTTAACAAACACTTGTATCTTATGGATGATTGCTGTCGTAGTTCTCCAAGTTTCCACTCCATACAGTAGAACTGTCTTGACATTTGTATTGAAAATCCTGATTTTGATGTTGGTTGAAAGTTGTTTGTAGTTCCAGATACTTTTCAACTGTAGAAATGCAGCCCTTGCTTTGCCGATCCGCGCCCTCACATCCGCATCGGATCCACCTTTCTCGTCGATGATGCTGCCAAGATATGTAAAGGTGTTAACGTCCTCCAAGGCATCTCCATCTAGAGTGATTTGGTTGGTGCATGTTGTGTTGCATCGGAGAATTTTGCTTTTTCGTTTATGTATGTTGAGACC